GGAGTGGTAAAGGACACGCGTGAAAAAAGCACCGAGGGGAAGGCAGGCTGTAAGGGAGGGCGCCAGCGACTGCACGGCTTTTAATGACGTGTCGTTGTCGCTATCAACACGTTGATTACCCACAGTCTGTCTCGGAGCCGTGGGGGAAAATCCCCACGGCACAAACCCGCTCAGATTCACACCTCCTCTTTGCATAGCTCCCTTCCTAAGGCCAGCCGGGGCCAGCCAAAAATCAGTTGGTTTTTTGTAAAAAGAGGCACTGACACCACAAAAATAAAACATTCAATATAAAACAATGTAACCAGAGAGGCTGTTTAGAAGAAAAAAAAAAAAAATAGTCTTAGTTTCAAGCAGTTTCTGTGCTACCGAGTTTCTGTCTGCATCATAACCCTTTGACCGAGGACAATGGATCAGAGGGTTCCAGCCTGGGTTACAAAGGGGGGGTTTGCTTCCAAAGGGAGCCCCGCAGAAACCGTTACAGCGTTCTGCGAGTACAGCACACCGCGGGAGCCTCACAGCCACCCGTCACGCCTTTCGCGGCTCCACGACAAGAAAACCACAGGCTTTGTGCTTTACCGAGTACAGTCCGGTTTAACTGACAGCAGGCGAGGGGAACTCAAGTGCCAGACGAGCCTGGAACTTTTCTCACAGCCCAGTGCTGATCATCACTAATTCCTGCCCATTTCCGCCCCCCAGGAGACAGTCATTAATACACACTGAGGATACGTGTTGTACGTTCGATGTAAAAGCAATCCAGCTTCAACACAAAGCTGAAAAACGCTCAGGGAGAGATGTTCACCTTCCAAGACACGCGATCATTTCAGTGCCTTGCAAATCCCTGATGCTTGCAGGACCTGATGCAGGAGATGACGCTGCGCTACGCTGCCTTTGCTGCCAGGCACAGGGAACGAGCAGCAGGACCCCCCGCACCGGCACCGCTGTCCTGCCCAGCCCCAGCACGGTGTGCGGCAGGAGCCGACTCCTAGTAGTACAGTTTATTGCAGAAACAGCCTCTAACTTCTGCCTCTTCTCACTGTTTATTGAATGCAGCCATTAAATATTGAGCTGTTAAATATTTGATGTCTCAACTACATCACATTCTTTACAGGAGAGAGCTGAAAGCACACAAACTCCTAAAAATATAATTGCTCAATGATCGGACTGTCCTGTCCCACAGCAGACGGCAACTCTGAAAGGGAGCCGTCGCAGTTCTGCTAACCAAACGCTTTCTTGTAAGATGCAAATCACTCCCACGCTTTTGTATTAGATGCAAATATGTCAAGAATGAGTTGGACAGCTCTCCAGACAGGAATGGGTGACAACCAACTTCCACAGAGCAGCTGGCTATGCAAACAGAATAAATTCTTTTGATTCAATTGGAATTGTGCACCTGCATTATGTATGGCTCATGAAAAGCAAAATCCTTTTAATAAAGTAAAGGGCCTGGGACACATCTTCGATAACGCATTCCTTTATGCTAAGAAAGAACCGAGCGTTAATAACTACCCACTCAACAACTCCAATAATGTAATTAAATGTGTCTCAGTAGCAACAAAAAAAGCAGAAATAAGTTGGCAGCATCAAAACAATTACTGTAGCCCTTTAACAGCGTCGCTTTGCTTCCCTCAGTGGGGAATCAACATTTTATTAAATTCATCCTGTTTTGTGCCAGTAAAGTCACTTAATGTTGCAGTCTCCCCAGTTAGAGATATCACTGCAGTCTTTTCTGTTGTCACCTTTTTTTCCCCCCCTCTCTCATTAAAATCACACACACTTGTTTTGAAACAAGAATTAAAGATGCCAATAGTAATATATCTCTTAAGGGGTACGAGATGAAAAAGAGAGACTACCTAAGGACTAAGGAAAAAAAACCACCCTGAAAATATCTGGGTAAGACAGGTAGAGAGGGAGCAAAGAAAAGGGACATCTCTTTCTGCCAGGCTGAAAAACCGCACATGGAGTAAGGCTCAGAAGATTCTCTGTATGTAAACCAGCATCAATGTTTTATTGTTGTGTTTTACGATTCAATGGGGGGGGGCACGGAATACAAACAAAAAACCAGACCAGGTACAAAAGCATCAGTCCAGTGTGCATCTGGGTCAAACCATCTGCAATCTGAAGTAACAGCGGAACTCTTCTACACACTGTTTGAATACAAAATCCTAGGGACACAGGCCTATGGTATTTTATCATATGGAAGATTAGAATATGAAAAAGAAAAGGCAGCTCCATTTCCACCTTTATCTGTCTGGACGGGTCATTCCCGGCCTGGTTGGCACCATCATGGGTCTGGAGGGTGGTCTCATCATCGGGGGCCCTGGCATCATTGGCATGTGTCCTCCCATCGGTGGCCTCATCCCTGGAGCTGCAAGGGGAAAGAGAGGATGTTTGGGAAGAGCTCTCGGGAGTGGCGACCGCCGAGTCACATCAATACGGCGTACGGGTTCTCTCCCTGACCATCCAGGGAACTTTCGTTTTACAAGTGCGAAGCTGGCCGAGATGGATTACATTTCCCTGAAGGATATTAGCGATTGGTAGTGGAAGAACCAAGTTCCCAGGTTAGATGCCCACTTCTGACAATATTCACTGATAAACTATTGTCAGCCACTCAAAAGAGACACTAGCTTAATTACTGAATTGGGAAGTTCATTTGGAAAAAAGTATGAAATCATCCAGTTGTACTTCTTACAGGCGGGTAACAGTATTCCCAAAGAAAAGCAGGTGCTCTAAAAAGCATTGAAATGATTGTTTCCATCCAACCTCTCCATTTATTTTCAGGCAGCCACTACGCTGCCTAATATCGCAGATTATGCATGTATTTTGTGCCTTTAAAAAAAAAAAACAAAAACCAAAAACACTTAACAGTTTCTACCAGCAAGACAATAATTGCAAAGACACTTCACTACTTTTAGTGTGCACGCATGTATTCCTTGCAAGCCTGGTTCCAGTAACTGCTTCAGTAAGATGCCCTCTGAGAATTCTTCAAATGCCAGTAAGCTCAAAACCAGAATGGATCAAAGACATTTTAGTTTGCCTTTGCGGTTCTGAAAAAACTTTTTAAGGCACACCGTTTCTCTGGGACACATTATCTCAAGACATTTTAAATAATAAAATTCATTTAGTGCTAAAATGTAACCCTTGTGCAAAAGTGTAAACACTGCACAGAATTCCTCAATAATTACAAATCGTACTGCTAAGACCAGAGGTAGAAAAGCTACAGTTTACCAGAGCGATAATTTCAGTTGTACAGGAGGACTAGTAACTCTCAACAAGCAGTAAAGGAACTTTAATTAGCAGTTGTAAGACCGTTTTACATCTCATCAGGCAGAGAAAATGGATCAGCAAATGTGCACATATAGTATATGCAAACTGAAATACTTCCACAGCCTGACACTTGGGGCTGCCCATCCATGCTGTGTCTAATACGATGTCTGAAGTGACGCGAGCTGTAAGCTAGAGTGCATCACTACAGCTAGCACCCAAGTACTGCAGCTGCTTCACATTTTCCGCTGTGCTCCTTTCACAACCCCCTACTGCCCAGCGAGACAGAAAATATAACCCAAACATCCCGCAAACCCGACCGTGCAGTGCCATGAGTACAGATTTACCCCGTTCCAGACTTACCGGGTCCAACCGGCATCATTCCGGGGGGCGGAGGGCCCATCATTGGCATCATCGGCGGTCCACCCATATGCGGGGCCGGCATCATGCCAGGCCGCGGGGGGCCAGCTGAATACACACACACACACACAAATTGGTTACGCATCTGGCTGCTTTCACATTCATCCACAATGTGCGATGCAAAGTAATTATTAAACTTGACAGGGTATTTTAGTAATTGAAGTGGTTTAGATCACTTTACATCTGCCTGCCTTCATTTTCAACTCTTGACTTTAGATGCCCAAAAAGCGAACCTGAGGAAGAACATGCTGGCTCTTATTTCCAACTTTGCATACCTAATGTAGATGACTACCACATCCAACAGCAGGACTCTGAGCAGAAAGGGATCTCAGCTGTTTACCAGCTGAAGCGCAATAGAAGGTTATCAATCCTATTATATTTAAAAAAAACAAAACAACAAAACCCAACAAAACCCCATGCTGGAAGTCTTAATGAAGCTATCTACATGGCAGCTAACAAGTAATGAGGACGCATACACTTCTACTGATGTACTCAACGTTACTAAAGTAAAACGAACTAAAGATTAAGATGGTTGTTGAACACTCCTACAAAGCATTCTCTTACGTTTTGGTATTCCCAAGCTCAAAATGCCTTAGCTTGATTTCAAGCTAAAAGGACTTTAAAAGGCCAGGAAACATGCAACACAGCTCAAGGGGGCTGCCGTCCCAGTCAAAAACCGTCCAGCTCAGACTTACGGATGCTGGGAGGAGGCGGTATCATGGCTCCTGCAGGAGGTGGTGCTGAGAACGGTGTAGGTGGGATTTTCCCTTGCTGAAATGCAGCCGCTACATTGGGGGGGAAAAGAAAAAAAAAAAAAGGAAAGAAAGAATCCCAGGAGAAAAACCAGTTACTAGGCTGAGGAAGCTCCTGCGTCAATCTTCCGTCTCATGCCACACGGTCAGAGCATACTTCACGTCATGCTGCGTGCTGAGTTGTTCTAACTCTGGAACAAATCCCTGCTTGTCACGGAGGAAGCACCTGATATTCTTGAAGACAATTATTTTAGTAATTACTCCAGCTGAGACTAGAGAGCTCCTTGATGGATTTCACACACCTAACAGGAAGGCGATGGTAGAGAAAATACATCACGTGATTTGCAGCTGCAGCTTTCACCTGGGATCATTCGGTAAAGACACACTGTCTGGGAAATGGTAATAAGGCAGTGAGGTAGGTGACAAAAAGCATGAAAAACATCTTATGTGAAAGGGAAGAAATTCAAAAGACCGGAATTGACTAGGGAAAAGATGTGAAAGTTGGAAGCATCATGAGGAAAACGGACACAAGGAAATGGAAAGAAGCTGCGTCAGGGGAAGGTCAGACGGGACTTTAGGAAAAGGTTGATCACCGAGAGGATGGTTGGTCCCTGGAATGGGGTCCCCTGCTGGACTTGATGATCCGTATGGTCCCTTCCAATTTGAGATACTCTACGATTCTATCATCTAAAGAAAGTTGCCATAAAGTTCATCTAGCATTTGTATTTCTTTTCACAGAGAAAAGAACCATTATTCAGAGGGCAAGTGAGAGGAAAAGAACCCTATAAACTGACAGAGGAAACACTTCACACTTTACTCAAACCTTTAATAGCAAGAAAATAAAAAAAAAAATCAGTATCCCATGAGAACTGAGGGCAAGCAACTACAACATTTAAAAAAAAAAAAGTAGAAATCCATACATTCCAATGTCCGTTCTCCTCTCTTTTGGATTTCTTATTCATGCTTTTTATATACACATGCCACTACCAAAAAGCAAAACTGTGTTATGCGACCTTGTGCGACATTACTAGCAGTGCTAAAGGCGGTGGTATCTACAACTCAGCAACAGTAAACGCCTGCTTGCAACGGCCCCTTGGGCAGAGCCCTCGGTCTCTCACGTGGAAGCCCGCACTGTGGCGAGTTCAAGATTCAGAGGCTAAGTGAAGTTTTCACTCATGATTCACAGAGCAAAGACTCGCCAGGGAAGCGAGGAAGAATCGACGTGAAAGAAAAGCAGCTAGAGGGAAGACAGGGGAAGGAACAGGAGAGCAATCCAGGGTCACAGAAGGATTAGCCTTACTTGTTTTGTCAATCAGGCTCTGAGCTTGTTCCTCCATCCATTTCTGATAGTAGTCTTTCACGTTCTCTTTGTGTTTTCGGCCACTGCAGTGGGTTTTTCTCACAGAGGGCTGAGAAAGATCATGCAAACCCAACGCTTGCATAACGCCACATAAAACCAAAGTTTACTGAGAACTGTTGTATCATTTCAAACACGTGCTATTCAGCAGTATAAAATAGGTTGGTTTCTGTGCCCAGTCAGAGGACAGGCAAAACCTTTACGTACAAGCTGTAAGTGCTGAGGCTCCAGTTTCAGTAAAAGAGGTGGCCCTAACGCCCAGCCAGCTGTCTCCTACCACCTCAGCGCAACACTCAGAGGCG